GATGCTGAATGTGTGTCTCGTCGTGTGCCATCACTATAAGGGATTAGAGTATACTAAGCTTTACACATTATATAGGCTACACTAACGTCACATTTAGGCGGTTTCTTTAACTATTATACGTGATGTACGTTTTCTGGGGGGTGGTTAATGAAAGTGTTCCAAAACGTGACATTAATTTCTTGATGATCTAATACATTTTTTCCCCTTACGAAACAAATGTTATAGATCACTCAGAAAACGTATAAAGTAATACACTATCACAGACCAGCAATACATTTGCGGTCATATTAGTATCTTTATTAAAACAGTATTTTTTTTATATACAGTATTTCTAGAATAATACAGAAGAATTCTAATCGCGCACACCGAAATCTATAAGTCAACTTCTATTAGGCCTAACATTGGTTAAGCCTTTATTAAGTACGGCCTATATTTGATAATGAGATAAATTAACACTGTAATTTGTGTACGTTTGTTGCTTTAGTTTAGTTAGGGCTAAACATTGTCGTACTTAATACTCTCAATAAGTAAACTTGTAATGTTATTATACGACCTAACGTTAGACTTTTTTAAAAGCTTTGATAAGCTTTTACTATGTTGCTGTACAAAATGACTACTAAAGTATACTTACATCCAATTTCTTTTTTTTTACATCCGTTGAAATAAAGTGCATGTGTATTTTCAGGACAGACAAAAACTGAATATTACTATAATAGCTTCTTTGTAGGTAAGGTGTAAAGCTGCTAGTGTGTAGCCTGTAATGGTTGCATAGTCTTCACAGTGGGACGAATTGTTTATTTCGAAGTATATAATTATAATATTTAGTATTTTCAACCTTAATGATACCTTATACGACACGCGGGGTGAACGATCCGGTCAAGGAATCCTAAAGCCCAGGTATAACCATCCTTAATAATAGAACTGCTGACCAGAAGGAAGGTAAACAGCCAGCAGCATTGGTCGCCTATGTGGATATTTTTAATACAACAGAGGGACTGACTATTATGACTATAACGCCACAACATCTGGAAGTGCGGAACGTACTCAGCTGAATATCGTGCCTCAAACCTTGGACCTTTCGATCCACTAACCACTTGGTCATACCTAGCTCTACATAGTATTCAATCGTTATACTTGTGCTGTATATAATGAAAAGGGGAGTCTCATCATTTAGACAATATGTACGGTTTATCCAACACACGAAATACCATGATAAAGTTTATCATAAGACATCTCCATTCCAAAATATTAACCGAAAAACGAAAGAAAAAATTTGGGGCTAAATTATAACCTAAACTTTAATACAGTTATAGTAGATTTGTGATGTATGAGTTCTGACGGTGAGTAATGTTAGCACAGCAACAGTAATATGATATCATAGAGGTGAAAGTATCCGACTTCTTGTGTCTGTTCTCAGTATAAATACCAATTACTTAAAGTTATAAGAATCAAGTATCATCTTAGCTTAGATTTCACTTCAGTCCATGGTCCAGTTCCGTAGTTCGTTAAATTTAGGTTGAAAACGGAGACAATTGAGGGAGTAATCCTCTATTAATTCAGCTCATAGCTTTAAACTCTTATCTGTATGGCTCAGCTCCCATACCAAGAGGGCTAAAACGCCTCTGGAAGACTACCGAGGCATTACGGGGGTCAAAGAATAGGTTTTCAAGATTGATGAGCTCGAATCTAACATCGGATTTTGTATTTCTGCTTCCCCTCATGATCCCGGGAGTTCCATATTTGAATTTTGAAATTGTGTTTATATCCCCACTTTCAAGGCAGCTGGTCCAAACACTCAGATATTATGCGAGTGTCCTAACCGTTTTTTCTTCTTCTCGTAACCCTCCCTTATGGCAACTATAGAAGTATAATGGAGGAGCTTGATCGGTACATTGGGGCTTCTGTAGATCAGGAGGAAGCTTTTGAACACTGCAGCTGAGCTCGAGCATTTTATGTTAGTTTGACCAATATATACATTTAATTGTAATGATACCATGTCACAATGTGTATTTTCTCTAATACAGTGCGTAAACACAAAATGAAGTTGGAAAATTTGTTTCGCGTATCTTTATATGAAATTAAAAGAAACGACTTGTATTCATTCATAGAATGTTTGTTGTTATCCGCAGAACCGTATGCAGGAAAGCTTAAAACTTTTTGACTCCATTTGCAACAATAAATGGTTTACCGACACCTCTATTATCCTCTTCCTGAACAAGAAAGATCTCTTTGAGGAGAAGATTAAGAAATCTCCTCTTACCATCTGCTTTCCAGAGTACACAGGTAAGTTTATAAACAGGTTGTTTGAAATCTCAGATTATGGAGCTCTTACATTTCCTGATTGGAATTTTCCATAGTCGAATAATTATTAATAATAATAATAATTAATAAAATGAAAATATAGTTAAAAGAATGGTGGGTTTTGTTTAACGGTTGATAACTTTGAGACAAATTTTCCAGATAGCCATGTCCTATTATCAGTATTAGTGGTGCTATATATGCTTGAAGTGTCCGAAATGTAATTACGTGCTAGGTAGTTGAAACTGTGAACATTCAAAATAAATTATCTTCTTTCAGTGCATTAGTACAAATTTAAAATTATTAGAAAAACCTTGAAAGATTTTTATAACTTTAAGTTTATTATTTTGTGAGAAATTCTTCAGTTGATGTACACCTCTACACCTTCATTGTTTGTTTATGATTTCAATTGTCGAGAAACTTTCTCAATAGATGGCGCTTTAAAAGTTCACTGTCTCAAATGATTTTAATAATTTACGGAATTTATTATAGAATTTTATAGAATGTAGTTATGGCACTTACCAAACTGGTAATAATGGTACATAGCGTTAAAGGTCTGGAAAGTAGACATTGTACAGTGAAACTGCACATTAACGTAAGTACTGAAAGAAAATGTACCGGTTGTTTTATACACTGCTTTTGTTTTCCAGATTATCATTATCATTTTAGTAGCTCGCTAGATGGCAGCACGATTACATTTCTCTGATATTTATATTAGATACACGGTTTCAGTAAAAAAACTATGCCAACATTTAAAAATACCGTGTACAGAAATGAAACATAATAGCTTAATTAATGTATTCTTATTTCGCTAAATTTTACTGCCTTCAACGGGTTTTATTAAAATCATTTTATTTACTAACTTCTGATCGAAGCAGAATAATTGCATAGATCAGAGCTAAAAGCACACACATCCCCAGGGTGGTTCAACGGAAAATCTGAGGGTTTATAACGCAAAAATCGGGTTTTGGTACCCATGGTTGGCAGAGTACAGATAGCCAATTGTATAGTCTTGAGCTTAAATTTGAACAAACTGAACTAAAAATTAACCCATTGATGAATATAGCTAATTTAATACACTATCATTATTCTTTAAATTAAGCACAACGTTAAAAATGCACAATAAGAACTTTATTTATTTTTTCTGCACAAGTTGCCTTGATTGAATTATCGTTAATCTCCTTAATCAAAATTTTCCTGTATAATTTTTAAGTTATAAGTTAGTTACTAACGTAATTATAAATTCATATATCTTGATCTTAGTAGCGGTAAATGTGAAAACTTAAACATGGTTTATGATATTTAATTTCAGTTACACTGTAGAGATTTCTCACTGAAGTTATTCATAACTTTGTGTAAGTATATGCAAATTCTGATCATATATTGTTATGTAGATTTAAACATAGTAATAGTGGAAATTCAAACATTAATTTATTAGAAAGAAAGGGTTCGTACAGAATATAATAATAATAACACGATAATGTTTAAGATATGTCAAAGATTAATACACTTCAATAATTTCAAACTATAAATACAAATCAGCGCTTGTTACCTGTTACTTTTTCACGTATAGAACACAACATTGCACAAACTTATTACGTTGCCAAAAGTACTGGAACAGACCACCCAGTTAGTAATGGTCTTGTCCCCCCCATTGATTTTGCATCTGAATTCCATGAGGTATTGCTGTGTGAGCTTTATGAAAATATGCATCTTCAATGGACAGCTAGTTGGGGTTCAGATTCCACTAGGAAAAAATTTCACGAGACTTTAAACAGGAAATGTTACTGGGTGCAGCATCGGTAGTCAGGAGCTCGCGAGACTGTACAGTCTCGTGAGCTCCTGAATACCAACGCTGCATCCAGTAACACTTCCTCTTTGAAGTCTCGTGAGCTCCTGAATACCAATGCTACATCCAATAAGATTTCTTCTTTACAGTCTCGTGAGCTCCTGAATACCAATGCTACATCCAGTACGATTTCTTCTTTACAGTTTCGTGAGCTCCTGAATACAATTTCTGCATCCAATAAGATTTCTTCTTTACAGTCTCGTGAGCTCCTGACTACCGATGCTACATCCAATAAGATTTCTTCTGTAAAGAAGAAATCTTATTGGATGCAGCGTTGGTAGTCAGGAATTCGAGGGACTTCAAAGAGGAAATGCTATCGAATGCAGCGTTGGTAATCAGAAACTTACGAGACTTTAAAGAGACAATGTTATTGGATTCAGCGTTGGTAATCAGAAACTTACGAGACTTTAAACAGGAAATGCTATTGGATTCAGCATCGGTAGTCAGGAGCTAATGGGACCTCAAAGAGGAAAATGTCATCCGATATAGTTTGCTTGTTTTTAGTTAAGAACTAAGCTATACAATGGGCTATTTGTGCTCTGCTACCACGGGTATCGAAATCCGGTTTCTAGTGTTGTAACTTCGCAGACATACCGCATTTGATGCAATAACGGTAGTCAGGAGCTCATAGGACTTCAGAGGGAAGTGTTATTTCATTGAAACAACACAGACAAGACACGTTTAATAAAAAAACAAACCCAAAAATCACTCCACAAAATAAAGGAACCTAAGTAATTGCACTATCCCATATATAGAAAATATTAGCCTACCTATATTAGAAACTTGGAAATAAACAAGCACATTATTATAAGACTAGACTTATTTTCACCCATGGAATGAAAATTAAATACATATTAAGAAAATTATATAACGAACCCACCCCATCAGGAAACATTTACAAAATAAAATGTAACAATTGCCCAGTTTTCATTAGGTGAAACAAGACGTAACTCGAACATCAAGTTAAAATAACACCAGCCCCCCCCCCACACACCCTCCCAAGTTCATGAACATATGAACAACAACAAAAAAATACGGTTTTTCTGAACAGT